TGCTTAAACAAGTTAATAATAGGGCAGTTAGATAGCGTGATTGAATCTGTAGTTTTCATGTGCATTCACGCATAGAAAATGTGTGAATTCAGCTTGCAAAATTCCAAAAGGGGATACTGTCAGGCCACATGTGAAGATCCAATTAAACTGCTTTTTCCGCTATTCAGGCCTATTCGCAGCAATCTTCTCAACTAATGGACTACATCTGGTTAAAGTTAGATGAAGCTCAATAACAATCAAAGGGTGTTGGACTTAATTTGCTTGTGGCAACGTAGGGATTCTAGGCTGATCTCTCTTTTCACTCCACTTCCAGGTTCTGCTATTCCTTCTCCTACAGATACTATCAGTAGTAGCAGACACTGTCTTCTCTCCAGAAGAGTCTGCAAGGTATAGTCAAAAAAAGACAAGGTGGTGTCCATGATGGTACAATTGAACTCTCTGCATTTTCTACGTGTGAATGCACATAAAAACTACAGATTCGATCACACTATCTAGCTGCCCTATTATCTTGTTTAATCATATCCTGAGGATCCCTCTGCTGTTTCCTGTCAGCTGATCCCACTCAACATTTGAGAGATCCAGAAAAGCTTCGTTCTGACTCGTAAGATCCCAAAGAAATAGCACTCCTCAATATCTTGGCCTGATGGCCTTCAGGATTTGAAAGCTCATTGCAAATTCTTTTGAGTTAACGCCTGGTGACAGGTGTAGTTGTTAGCAGCAAAACTCAAAAGTCAATATGTAGAGATCAGATACCCTGCAGTTGGGCATACGGCTCCTCCAGCTATACCATACAGAACATAACATGTCAGAGCAGTAAATTCAAAATGTTTAGAACTGTTGGGAGGGTGGAAAGGGTTTGGTTAAAGATGCCCCAGTTCCCCAAAATCATGAATACCCCTGCTGGAAGATCTTTTGCGAGTGTAATAAATCTTAAAATCATATAAGAAATTGCACATTCAGCCATGTTTTTAACTTCAATTCCTTGGGTCTCTAATGCGGCATTTCTCAATCTCTGCCATTTTAAGATGCATGGATTTCAGCTCCCAGAATTCCCTAGCCAGCATGGAGACTGACTCTGTGTGTGTGTGTGTGTGTGTGTGTACACATACGCGTACATACATATGCAACTAACTATATATAGTTAATTAGTTGCATTCTATAGAGAGAGAGAGAGAGAGCTGGCTGGAGGAATTCAGGGAATTCACAGAAATTGCCTAATCATTCCTGTAGCTCTTTAGTTTCATTCATTGGGAGAGTTAGTTGCATTCTAATTTGTTTTTTTCCTTCAGCTTTGCCTAATGTTGCAACTGCCCAGCTGAATCACTGCAGAGGCTTCTGTAATCTTATCAGAGGCAATTTAGATCGACAACCCCACCCTTCAGTTTCCTGTGTTACAGCTATTTATACTGAATAGAGAAAGCACAATTTTGCATTTGCTGTCTCTCTCTCCTGCATGTCGGGGTGCTTTTCAATTTCACTGCCTTAATTTTGTCTTCCAATAATAATCTCTCAAAAAAAACGCATGCAAGATTTGCACTTTATTCCTAGGCTGAAGGGACAGAGGTCAGCACAGATTGCAAATAAATGTCTACCGTGTCGAAATGTAGCTGTGCACAAGGTTATTTTAAGTAGTCAACAGGTCTTGCCTGAATCTGATTTTTGGGTAGTATTGCTACACAGAACATGCCGAAACTGCAAACCTGCTTGCTAGTAAAGATGAGAGAATTTCCACCAGTTGGGCTTCTGGTCACTTTAAGGCTATTTTCTTACTCTAAATCAGGGGTGTCCAACCTTGGCAACTTTAAGACTTGTGGACTTCAACTCTCAGAATTCCTCAGCCAGCTGGCTGAGGAATTCTGGGAGTTGAAGTCCACAAGTCTTAAATTTGTCAAGGTTGGACACCCCTGCTCTAAATTGTCTGGGTTAGAATATATCTCCCAGCCAGCTTTTTAAGTGCAACGGAGTGCAACACAAAACAGTGTCAAAAGCAGACGTGTACAAGGCAGGAATAGCCAAGCCAATGCTGTTTGTCCATCATTAAACAGGTGCCTCTGAAGGAAATGAAACATTTAAATGAAAACAAAAATGCAAATTTGGGCACTTATTTTCCACCACAGCTTAAAGATGCAGGTATGATTAAAAGCAAGCAAGCAAACAAGCTAGATGTTTTCCTAATATGATGCGTACAGTGTATACTGGGGAACTCCCATTACAACCCTCCCAAGAATGATGCTATCTGAAGGAGATGCAGGGAACCACTCACCACTGAGGATGAAACATAAGCCCAGATGGCATGGACGTGGATGGAGAAAGGCAGGATATTGTTTCCTGTACAGGTTACAGTGGAGGAAGTGGTGTGCCCAGGGGGAGGACCAACCATAGCAGGGGTTGCCAACCTTTTAGACCTGAGGGACCACCAAACTCATAATTTTAAATCCCGCGGACCACTAATATGAATTTTGATTGATGGTGGCTTGCTGATGTTTTCCCAGGGTCTCTGCAGAAAGCAACAGAGACCCTGGGAAAATCCCCCCAAAAAATCTGCAGGAAAATTCCCCACCCTATTTTCCTACCGAGCGATCATTCTTTATTTGGGATCGCAGGATACCATCTCCAGTTCCATTCTCAGGGGGAGAGAAAGAGAGAGAGAGACTTTTGGCTTCATGCAAGGAAAGCAGCAGAAGCAGCAGAAGTCTTTCCTCCAAACTCTGCCAAAAATGAGTCTTTGCTGGCACAGCCTCTTGGAGCAGGAGTCATTTCTGGTGGAGTTTGGGGGAGAAAAAGAAAGACTTTTGCTGCTTTCCTTGCGTGCAGCCAAAAGCAGAAGAAAGAAGTAGAAAGAAGCAGCCAGGTGGCCAGGCCAGGTGCATGGGGTGAGTGGGGCAAGTTCCCCCCCTCCGCTCTTTCCCCCCTCCTCTCACTACCTCGTGTGGTTCGCAATGCAAGCGACGCAAACCTTGTGTTCCCGCAGGCCAGGTGGGCGGTGCAGCCTTGTGTTCCCATGCAGCCTGGATTAATTGCTTTGGGAGGCGGGCGACATTTCTCTGCAGACCACCAAAATGTTCTCATGGACCACCGGTGGTCCCCGGCCCACTGGTTGGCAACCACTGAACCAAAGGACCAAGGAGAAGATGGGTGAAACAGATGGAAGATGATAAAAAAAATCTAAAATTCCATGTATACAAAGCAAAACTAATCAAGGAGAGAAGCAACCTAGAACTAAGGAGGAATTTCCTAACAGTGAGAACAATTGGAACGACTTGCCTCCAGAAGTTGTGGCTGCTCCAACACTGAAGGTCTTTAAGAAGAGACCTGGGCGGCCATTTCTCTGGAACGATATAGAGCTCCTGCTTGAGCAGGGAGCTAGACTAGAAGACCTCCAAGGTCCCCTCCAATTCTGTTCTGTTCTGTTCAACCAGAAAACATTAAGAAACAGAAGAAGAGGAGGAGGCGAGGAAGAAGGAAGGAACTTGCTTCTTAGAATTATCAAGCTAAACAAAATACTGGGTATACTATTAAAGAATAGGGTGGCCTTGTACACAAGCAAGTTGTAAATATTTTATTTTATTTTTACTTATTTATTTTATTTGTCAATCGCTTACAAGATAATAGGTCTAAGTATAAACATAGTTATAAATACATCGATACATATAAGAAAAATAAAAAAATATATAAAAGAAACAATAGGACAGGGACGGTAGGCACGTTGGTGCACTTATGCACGCCTCCTATGGACCTCTTAGGAAAGGGGTGAGGTCAATAGGAGACAGTCTAAGGTTAAAGTTTTTGGGGTACCACGGGCGTCTACAAAAGTTAAGATTTAAAACTACTCCAACCCCTGCCAAACTACTTGGAGGTGATCCCCAACTTTTCAAAAGTAAGATATGGCTCCTTACATTGCTTAGAAGGTGCAGCTTTTCTCGTCCGTTTAGTTGAGGTGGCGGTTTCTCTCGTTTCCTGCTTTTCAAAAGTGAGGTACAATCACTACTAGAGGAAAATCTAGTTTTTGTTTCCGCTCGTTGCATCTTCAAATCACAAAATTGTCTCTGGACGAGTTCCAGTTCCTCTTTTTTTCTTCCTCTTTTTCTAGAGAAACGGCTCTCTTTTCTTGAGAACATATAAATGGTCCACAAGTACTTGATTTTCTCTCTCTCTCTCTCTCTCTCTCTCTCTCACACACACACACACAAATACCCAGAACGTCTCTCTCTTCAGGCTTCTTCATGGGGTGGTTATGGTAGGGATGACTGGAATATCTCGTTTTAGTTAGTTAGTTAGTTTACTTTATTGTCATTGCACCTCATACAACGAAATCAAACACCATCTTCAGTGCACATCATGACCATGAAAATAAAAACGCACATTTATAGACCATTCTAAATGCTCTGTATTATTTATTATATACGCATTTCTATGTTGCACGCATTTACATTATGAGCCATATAGTTTATATACATAGAATATACATTTTTGTATACAGATCGTCCTCAATGGTTCATTTAGTGACTGTGACGTAGGACCGTTTTTTTCTCCATGATCCACATTCAGATGCTCGGCAACTGACTCATACTTACGACCGTTGCCGTGCCCCAAATTGATGTGATCCCCTTTTGCTGCCTTCTGACAAGCAAAGTCAATAAGGAAATCCGATTCACTTAATGACCGCGTTGCTAAGGTAAGAACGGCAGCGATCCACTTCACCGCTGTGGTGAGAAAGGGGCGTAAAACGGGGCGAAAGCCTCACTTAACAAAGGCCTCGCTTAACAACAGAAAGGTGGGGGACTCCCTTGCGGTCGTAAGTCGAGGACTGCCAGCCTCCAGTCTATTTAGAACCGGCTCTTTAAAGGCAGCGCCGACAGCGGCTGGGAGGCCACGCCTCTGGCTCCTCCCCGAGGCGCCGGGGCCAAGTCCGGATTGGGCGGCCGGTCCTCTTTCCCCGCCCGCCCGCCCGGCCCCGCCCCCTTCGCCATAAATCACCTGTTGCGGCTTCCGGCCGGGCTGCGAGAGGGGAGCCGGAAGTGGCTGCCTCGGCGGCGAGATGGCGTCCGCAGGCTCCCCGGTGGACCGGCTGCCCCCGCCCTTCCCGGTGGAGGCGGAGGCGG